TTACTGCTTGGTAAAGTTTTATGAAAATGGCGACACCTTGGCGCCATTCCTAATATAATTTTATCATTACTGTGAACAATTTTTGATGTCGATAGATATATTTCTGTAATTAAAAGTTTTTTTTATGTTAAATTTTTATTATTTTTATTGCATTTTAATTGCTTTATTTGAAATAATACTGGATAGTAGTTAAATATGTTAAATAACAAAGTATATTACAGCGCCACGTTGTGGAACATGTGCAAATCATATTATATTAAAGGTTAGGTATATTAAATTATAGTAAGATTAGGTTACATTATAAAATTTTTCTCATATGTTTAGAATGTATTTAATTAATTTAAATTAATATACATAAAAAAATAATAGTTTTATATTTGTTAGAATTTTTAATATTTATTAATATATATGTAAATAAGTTGTATCAAATCAAAATATTAGATTAAAAAAAATAAAATGATTTATTATAATGAACAAATATTTATATAATATAATATTTATACGTATATTTTACATGTGAATCATAGTATGAATTCTACAAATGAATTTTTCCTATTTTTAATTTTATATAGCTAAATAATTAAATACAAATATAAAATTTAAGTTATATGTATATATCGCAAAAATAAATAATAAGTTATATAGCTTATAAAGTATGCAATCAATCATTTTATTTAATTTTGAATTTTTCACATATAATTAAAATATAAGAATTGTATAAATTAGTTTGTTTTGAAAATGATAATTTTTTATTCTTTATCTAAAATTGTACTTTTTTGGTTTTTATAATTTGTAATTTTTATATTTTTTGTGACAATTTATTTTTCTTTTTATATTTTTATTTTATATTCTTTTGATTTTTTTTTGGAAACAGATTTAGTATCACAAAGCAAAGTATAGCAAAGTAATAAATGTAATAATGAATCCATAAATAAATTATAAAATAGACACTTTATTTTATAGAAAATTTTTTTAAAAATTTTTTTTAAAATTTTTTAAATAAGAGATAAGATACAGAAAAGATCTAACATTTAATTTTTTTTGTTTCATGTTTTAAAGATATAAGGTTAAGATGAACAAATTTTCATATTTTGATAATGATGTTTTGAAGATAAAGTTAAAATGAAAAAAATTTCAATATAAAATTATGAATAAGAAATAAAGAAAATATTTTGTTATAAAATATTTTCTAAATGTATATAATATACTATATTTTATATATGATTATATTTATATTATATTTAAAGGATTATAAACAATTAATGATGGAATGATGATTTTATATGTCCTTGACATATATTCTAAAATCGAGAATATAACATTTACATTTTTTACATTAAAAATTCAAATATAGTTTTAAAAAAAAATGATGAAAGTTTATTCGATTGTTATCCTGTATTATATCTGCGATCATATGCTAAAAGTATAGATAAAGGAAATAATAAAAAAAAGAGAAAAATAATAATAATGCTCAATTTTTACTCTATCTTATCCATCGTGAAGAGATGTCTTTGATACTCAATAGATGGCATTATAATAAATTCTTATTTTATTCCTGGTCTTTTACTATTATTTTCTCTTACTATTATATTTGCAATGCAAAATTTATATATCCAAATAACAGTTTTAATATTTTAAAAATTTTTATTGTCATTTTTGTTTATTGTAATAATTATAAAATAAATACAAGTAATATATTTTATATGTATTTACTATTTGATCAAATTTTTATATAAAAGTATATTCTATATAATTGAAAATATATTTTATGTATGTAAATTAATTATTCTATATACCGCAAAGACTCTTTATATTTTATATATGCATATTTTTATAAATTATTTTTTATACAGAAAGTTCAAAAGTATAGGAATCCCAGTTAATTCCTGAGATAATTTCAGGCAACATTTTTCTTCGCAAAAACTTTCGTTATGCTTTTATTCATGAGTTATTATCAAAAAATATTTTATTCTCCTCTTTTATTCTCCTATTTCTTCCTTCTTTTTTATCAATTCCTCTTCCTACTCTCCTTTATCAATTCCTCTTCCTTTTTCTTTTATCAATTCTTCTTTTCCTTTCTTCTTTTATCATTCTCTTTTTCTTCAATTTTTCTAATTTCTTTATTATCCTGTTTTATCAGCTTATTCCTTCTTTCTACTTTCATTCTTATTATCTTTCCTTCTTTGTCATTTTTTTCTTGTCATTTATTATGGCTTTTTTATCATCTCTTTTATTGTTCTTTTTTTTTTCTCTTTTGTTATCCTTCATTCTATTTTTCTCTTCTTTATCATTCTCTTCCTATTCATTTTTTATATCATTCTCTTCCTATTCATTTTTTATATCATATTTCTTCTCTTTTCTTCTTCTATCCTTTTTCTTTGTTATATTTTTTTTTTGTTTTCTCATATCCATATTTTCCCTTCTTTTTTGCATGTTTTTTCTCTCTCTTTTGTTATTCTTTCGTCATTTTTTGTCATCTTTTTCTCCTTTGTCTCTCTCGTATTTCATTATTTAACAAATATACGAATAATAAATAATTAGTTTATTCATTTAAAGAACAAAATTATAAATAAAATTTATAAATGTAATGGTAAAAACAATGTTTCAAATACATATAATTATATTCAAAAATAAATCACATATTAATGAAAAATTAATAAAAAACTTATTGACATATTAATAATGTCAGTTCCTATATGATATATTAATAAATATTTTTTTATTATAATTATTTTAATATAATTAATATAATTAATTAACAAGAATTTCATTAAAAATTAATTCATTAAAAATAATTTCCTTAAAATTGATACAAAAAATTTTTCTGAAGTTTTAGTTTCAAAATAATAGCTTAAAAATTTTCAGTAAAAAATGTATAATTAATGAATTTTTTATATGATAGGCTCAAAATGATAGACTTTCTGTCTTTTTTACAATATTCCTTATCTATAACTTCAAATATCTTCTTATACATTCTGTTTTATTAATAACAAATCAGAGTTTTAATGATTCAAACGCGAGATGGCGCTAATCAAAATTTTTCGATCATTGTCTAACTTATCGATTAAATTAATTCTAAAAGTTTTGGATCAAAGGAGAGAACACAAGTACGTAAGTAGATTGAGTATTAAATTAAAAATTGTTTAAGTAGGGATATATAATATTATAAAGAAGAATAATAATAAAAATGAAAATAAATTTTGAAATTTATGATAAAAACTTGGTAAGTACTTATATGTTTCATATATATTTTTATATAATTTATATATATAATTTATATATATATATATTTATATATATAATTTATATATAATTTATATATTATTTTTCCTATGTTGTATTGATTATATATATCATATATATATTTTATATTAATTAGTTTTTTATATGTTTCAAGANTTATTATATATTATATATATATTTATATTATATATATATTATATATATAAATACTATAATATTAAGTAAAATGATGAAAAAATATTTTTTTTAAGATATATTTTTCGAGATAGAATAAGATAGAATAAATAGAGAATTGAGGATCGATATCATCTCTTAAATATATTGGAAAGATGTTACAAATGTAAATATAATTGATGATTTTATCTTTAATCTAAACTAAATTAAAAATTTAAAATAATTTAAATATAAGAAAAATGATTAATTTAAAATTTAATTCGTAACTCAATATCGTCTTTCAAAGATTAATATTTTTTTTTAAATTTCTTTTTAATTACTAAGTTAGGTTTTATTATAAAGAAATACATATGAAACACTTGTACTAAACTTTGAATGTACTAAAACACTCTAACGATATAAACGTATTTTATGCACTAATAATTGATGTTCATTTAAATAAGAAATTAATTAAAAAATGTCTTTATCGTTAATATGAAAAATAATTTTTTTATTATTGTTTATTAATTTTTTAATAATTATAATTATAATTCAATTCTTATCATTAATTTATTCACTTAATTATATATTATAATTTTAATTATTAATTCTTGTGAAAATAATTCGGTAATATTCTTCTGAATAAAAATATTTTTTTAAAATTAAATTAAATTAAATGAAAATCTTTTTCAGATTTTTATTATTATTCATTTATAATATTTATTTCTGATACGAATAATACATAAATGTAAAGATTATCACTCAATATTATAAATTTTTGCTATCATGTTTACAATTTTAATAATAATTGGATGTAATATATAGTATATATATATTGAAAATTAATTGTCTTAATATTTCGAAATGTTAAATAAGTTTTATCATTTTCTTTTTATCTTTATGTTTTTTTCTGTTAAAAATACACACAGTTTGAATATTTATATTAATTTTTTTTTTATTTATATACTTATAGAAATTGGATCTTTTTCATCTTTTAAAGGAAAAAATCAATACATTATAATTTGCGGTGATCTAAATGTAACAAACCTGATGGCTTCACTCGGAAAAAAGAAAAAGAAAAAAATATAAGAAAAATAAAAAATACAAAAATTGCATCGAAAGATTCGTTTTTTAAAAAATTTATTTCATTGTGATTTGCACAAATGTATAACCGTGTATTTATTAATTATCAATTAATTATTTATTGATTAATTATTGATTAATTAAAATCTGAAAATGAATGTTATTAGAATAATAATTTTTTATAGTTTCAATTAAATTTTAATTGATTAATAATTATAATTTTAATAATTTGGAATATATATTTGTAAGTATTAATTAAAAATAATTAAAAAATTTAAAATTTTTACGAGAGAGAATTTAATCTATTTGAATTTAATTTATTCGAAGGGATATATCATTGAATGACATATATATGGTAATAATAGATCGAACGATCGACAAATAATAGATACGGAGTCTTTTACGAATCGGTCAAAGAAAGAGAGAATCTTGGAGAATCATTGAAGAAAAGGAACGTAAATACAGCGTAATTATAATTATTACGAGTAATATTAGAAGAGGTTCATAGGAAAATTTCTCGAGATAAGAGCAAATCGTAATTGAAGAGCAGTTTCGCAATATCGCTCTGCAATTCTGGTTGAATAACACACACTCATGAATGCGCAAAACATTGGACAAAATCTGTCAATGGACTGATGTTTCTGTAATTTGTAACGCGAGACTTTTACATCAAAATTAATGAGATTAGAATTATTAGAAATATTCTCGCGGACAACGGTGTATATTGACCCTCGCCTCGAAATATCGTTTCAATATTTTTCGTTTTCTAATTTTACTATTAATATACATACGTGTAATATACATACATGTTTCATTTTGTATTGACATATAGTAAAGACGAATGGTATATTAACGATCTCAAAGATTTTTCAAGGATTACGAATTTGAATTTTAAACGTAGAAAACGTGAATTGTATTCATTCGTGAGAGTGGTTATCGTTACTTACAAGAAGGACCGAGATGGCTGAAAGTGAGTAAATTTTGTTAAAAGTTGCGAATCATAATCAAATTAAATAATGTCGAATAATTGAACAGTGCGAAGTTTGACGAATATGAATTGAAACTGCTAATTGAAATTGCACGTTACACAATGTACACTATCGTTCATAAATATTCGGATAGTTTGATTGATTTATAGTAATAATATTTTAATTTTATCAAAATTATTACAAATTAACAATTAAACTAATTATAAATTTAATAATTTTTTATTTTTTAAAATTACATTATGGAATGATTTTTTATGAGATGATTTCATGAGATAAGTTACTAAATGTAAATTAATAGATTTCTTATCGAAAAGATTGCGAGAATTTTATTAGAATAATTATTAAAGAATCAATGACTTTCTTGAAAAATAAGATTTTTATTATGCATTTTATGAATTAATTGTATAGTATCATGTACAAATATACATATAATATTCGAATATTCTTAAATGTTAGTGTAATTGTATAGTAAAGGATATTAAAGGGATTTTATTAAGGATAAAGGATTGATTTATTTCTTCTAGATCTTCAACTTCTCCGAGATAATCCGTTCTCTTTTCATTTCTTTTTTATAAATTAATCGTGAAACGTTAAATTAAAAGTATGAGATAGATTCAAATATTGATATCATTTGATATTATGCATAAATTTTTCGATCCTTTTTTTGATTTTCTTGACATTGATTGTAATAAAAAAAAAGAATTAAAAATAATATTATTCAAGTTAATTCATTATCTTATCGTTCATTTTTAAATTATAGTGTAATGTAATATTAATAATGAATACATTGCATTTTTTTTAATTATATATAATTGAATAACAAATAATATCATCGTTTTTAATTGATGTTAAATTCTCTATTTAAACATTATAAAATAAAATATAAGGAGTCTTATTATCGTTCAATAAATGATATTACAAATGATGTACAAAATTTTATATAGTGTTACAATTTAATATTTGCTTTTTGGTCAAGCTACAAACTTTAGATTTTTAAATTATCTCTACTCTATGATCTTTTTATTTCAAATATCTTATGTTATTTCCCATTTATCATATTATCATATTATCATGTTGTGCATAGAAATAATTTTTAAATAATAATTCATAATAACATAAATAATGACAAAATTTGTTGATTTTTTTAAAGAAATTATTATATTTAAAATTAAATATCTTTAAGGAAGAGAATTTTTTACATGTCGGGATGTGCTTTGGTACCTCGTTTTTTGTGGTTTCGCCATCAATTATATGTTGAGATTAAACTTGCATTTGACAATTGTGTCAATGGTAATACCTCCTGAAACACCTGGAAATAATGGTGTAACCACACCTTCGAATATTTCAATTTTAAAATATAAAGTAAGTATATTTTTATATTTTTCTGTACATAACATATGATTAATAAAAATATTTCAACATTATTTTACAGAAAAATTCATCTAATCTAAATATTTTGATTTAAATAAAAATTTGTGTACAAAGCATAGTGGAGGAATGATTGAACATGAAGAAATTTTTTTTGTTGATGAAAAATCTTTTTGAAGAAATGAAATAAATTTTCAAAATTTCAGTTTTTATATTTTGAATACAATTTTGCATGAAAATTTTTTTTATAAAATGAATAAAATAATAAAGGGCACTAAATTCTGAACTCTTTGTAATTTAAAATTTTCCTTTTTTTTGTATAATTATGTTAAACTTAAATTTAAGAAATTATCATTAATAATTCAATAATAATAAATTAGAAAATGAAAAAGCGTTCAAATATTTTAATAAGCTGTATATTTTATATTTTCAATATTCAATATTCTATATATGTTAAAATATTTATTATTGGAATATTGGAATATTGAAATTATTGGAATATAGTTATTTATATTATTTTTTTTTTTTATATTCTCATATTGCATACATAATATCAAGCTATTTTGTTTTTTTTTACTTAACATTCTTTTTATTGTGAAAATATATTCTCAATATTGAACTGTTTTTTTGATTTTATTTATTAATGTATATAAATAATTATAAATGTAATAAGTATGAATTATTGTATTATATTATATATTATTATATTATAAAGTAAAACTTAATTTTGCTTTCAGGATCGATTTGCATGGAACGAAAACGAACAGAATTTAGCTTTGGGATCTTATTTCTGGTTACATTGGACAACGCAAATTCCTGGTGGGTTTTTAGCAAGAAATTATGGCACGAAAATTGTTTTTGGAATGGGAAATTTATTACCAGCAATTATTGGCTTCATTATCCCGATTGCAACATATCAGCTTTATGTTCTTGTGATTTTACGAATTCTTCAAGGTTTTTTCGCAGTAAGTAAATACAAATAACAAATGCATATATTTTAAAAGAATGGAATTATGGAAGATTTATTTAGGGTGTTGTGTGGCCTTCTATGCACAATATGACTGCCAAATGGATTCCTCCAAATGAGAGAAGTAGATTTGTTAGTTCTTATTTGGGTAAAGTACCTGGAATAATTTTATTATTATATTTATTTAATATACGTACTATTCAATAATTAATATTAATTAAAATTTGAAAAATTTTGGAAAAAAGATTTGATAAATGATTACGACAAAATAATAATAGGATTTCTAAATATGTCATGTTTTAGGTGGTTCTGTAGGTGCTGCTATCACTTATCCACTTTGCGCAATAATTATTAGAGGACTCAATTGGGGCGCCACTTTTCACATAACATCGTTGATCGGTGTCATTTGGTAATTTTATTTTAATTGAAATATTTATGTATGATAAATATGCAAAATATATTATCCACAATCTATATTGTTAAATGATGTTTATTACAAAAAATAAATTTGAAAAATAATTTGAAAGGTATTGCTTCTGGTACTTCTTCGCATTTGACACACCTCAGCAACATCCTCGAATATCTGACGAAGAGAAAAAATATATTTTAGACAGTATTGCCGATTCAGTTGATGAAGAGGTAAAAAAAGTACCTTGGAAATCTATATTAACATCGATTCCAGTTTGGGTTGTAATAATTTCACAAACGGGTGGAGGATGGGCTCTCTTCACCTTATTAACCCACGTTCCAACTTACTTCAGCGTCATTCATGGATGGAATATTACCATGGTACAGAGATATTTTGTTAATTTCCAAATTAAAATCATTTCCTTGAAAAATAACTTTTTGAATGCTTGAATTAATATAATATTTCGTGAAACATTCGTGATGATCAAATTATAAAAATTTATATATTTATAGAAAATTTAAATGTACAAAAATCTATAGAATAGTGTGCATAAAACACAACGTACATGTTATTGATTTAAACAGCGAAACATATCTTTATTTCAATTTTATCTGTATGATTACGTTCATAAAATTTTTAATTTGTATAGATATCCGCAGTTTAGATATTGCTATAAGAAAAGAGTAATTAATATAAATTCAATTGCAGACTGGTATTATTTCTGGAGCTCCACATTTATTGAGAATGGTTTTCTCATATTATTATTCAGTCTTTAGTGATTGGCTCATAACTAATAAGAAAATGAGCGTAACCAATACTAGAAAATTGGCTGTATTTGTATCTCTTGGAATGCAAGGTATTTTTGTCTGCCTATTAAGTTTTTGCGGATATTATCCAATACTTGCAGCAATTTTCATGACATCCGGAGTAACTGTAAATGGCGCACTTTCCGCTGGTACTTTAGCAACCCTCGTGGACTTAAGTCCAAATTTTGCTAGTATTAATCTTGGTTTTTCTGGAATGATAGTATTAAGCCTTGCATTTGTTCCACCAATTGTGACCGGTTTTTTGACAGTGGATAAAGTAAGTATGATTATTATATTAATTAACATATTAATTAACAAGACATTAAAAAATTTATTAATCATTTTATTATAATATTTCATATAATTCTTAAATGAAATATCAATCATTTAGGTTGAAGGAACAAAAACTATTCTTTAAAGTTAAAATCTTTAAAAATAAAAGTAAAATGTATCTTTGTTTAAAAATTCATTCTTTATGAATTTTATTTTTCTTTCATGAATTATCTTTATGAATTAATAAAGTTTTTAAATATTATTTCAATATATGTTTACATATATGTCTTTTTAATTTTTTTTAATTTTTAATTTTCTTCTCTTCTCCTTTTTTTCTTATTATATTATAAATTTTTTTTTATTTCTGATTGTGTTTGAAATATAACATATGTAATATATAATAATATATGTACGCATATATAATATATGTACAAGAAACATTATTTTTTGCTAGAAATAAAATTGATTCGAAAGATAATTTATATTAATTTATACATATATTTTTCCAGCAAACCGCATTGCAATGGCAAAAAGTTTTTCTTATAAGTGGTGGTGCTTCTGTGCTTGGGACTATTGTATTCTTAATATTTGGAACGGCAGAGGAGCAACCATGGAATAAATATGGTAAGTCAACCAAAAACGATCATGAAATGCAGAAATTGATAGCAATGCCGATTATAAAATATGAAGATGAAAATATCGTGAAAGATGAAAAAGTTATAGATAAATAATAAGAAATAAAAATATACATAAAACGAAAAAAAAAAAAATGAATAAAATATATTTGATTAATAACGTTTACCTCAATTTTACAGTTGATTGAAAGAATTTTTATCAGAAGAAAAATCTGAAGATGAAAAGAAAATATATTGTTTAAAAACTTTTAAAAATTTCATATTTTTCAATTTTTAAAAGTTTCAAAAATAAAATAAAAATATTCTCTATGAATAAATTATATCGTTCTCTTTCAATTTGGAATATAATAATGAAATTATAATTTCATCAAATGTATAAGAAAATATATAATATTTTATTTAGATAAATTTATATCATCATTAAATATGAAACAATAATTTGTGTATTTTAATGGAATTACATCAAGTAATATAGAAATATGTTATTTCTATAGATTGATACTTTATTGTTAACATAAAAATTATACATGAATATTGCACATAAATCGAGATCTTTAATATAAAAACTACACTAAAATATATAAGAACAAAAGAAAAAGATAAATAACGATCAATAATATAAAATAATTGTTGAATATACAATGTAAAATAATTTTCTATTTAATTAAACGACAAAATTCATAAAATTATTACATTTATTATCTGTTCTAAATATCTAATTAAATATAGATACAAGTAAAAAAAATAGAAGAAATTCTATTTTAATAAATATAGATAATTAAAATGAACACCTAGAATCAAATTTTTTTAAAATTCTCATTATCATATTCAAATTAAATGAAATTAATTTGATTCTAAATGTTTTAAATTTTATAATTCCATGATAAATTATCCAAACTACTTGATCATAGATTTATTGTAATAAATGCAAAAGCAATAATTATTAGTATAAAATATTAGTATTATTGATCACAAATATAAATTATTATTCGTCCATATGATAATTCTATTCTAATTCAATTCTATATTATAAAGAATTGAAAATAAAAAAATCTAGTAGTATAATAAAACAATTAATCATTACAAATTCAAACGAATTGTTTTCAAGTCATTTATCAAACTAAAAATATTAAAATCAATTCTAATTGAATTGCGATAATTATAAACCAATATTAATTGGACATGAGATATGGTAATAAACATAGGAACAATGGACCTCTATTTATTGAAACGATTTTACGGCAATGAAATACCAGAGAGTTCTTACATGAAACTTATACAACAAGAATTTTTAATTTATCTAAACAAAAGTAATCATCTAATTTCAAACATTACATATATAAATTTTGCAGTATTGTATTGCAAAGACAATATTATACAAAATTATATAATATATTTATCAAATATTTATATAAATTTTTTTAAAAAATGATTTATCATCTTTAATATTTTTTTCTATTATTCTATTTATTATTATATATAAATATAATAAAATATCGAATAAAAATTTTTTTCTAAATCATATCAAATAAAAAAAGAAAATATTCATTATTTTATAAAGAATATCATTAATAAAATTAAAAGTGAAATATGTATTTCATATTTGATAAATACATTATATATATATATATATATATGTATTTATTCTTGCAAATTTGTCGTTTTTCAGAGAAAAAAGATAATTTAAATAAACGCAAAATATCTCTTAATAAAATATTACGATGATATTTGGTTCTTTGCTTCCAGACTTTTTACTACTTATATTCAATTTTTTCTAATAAGATTTCAGCGATATTTCCCTCTCTCTTTAAGTTTTATTATTAGTTCTTTTACGTTTATTAATTCCTTAACAATCTATCTCGTAACAGAATCAAATTCTACAGAACTGATTTATTTTATATTATGGCTATCTCTCTTCATTTCTTTTACTTCACACAGAAAAGCCCAGATATTATCACAGTTTCTTTTCCGCGATGAAGTAACTTATAATTAGACACAACACTTTGCTTTCTTTTCCCCTGTAGACATTACAATTCTAAACGAAACTGCGTTACTCATTATGGGAGAAACCAGAATATTTTCCAATAATTGGAAACAAGAGAAAGAATCTGTTTTATTTTGAAATTATAAAATTTCATTACTTGTAATCCAAGTAATGTTTAACATTTTATCTAAATTGTAAATTTATAAGCTTTAATAAGCCATTTTATATAATGTATATTTTATATACATAAAATTTTATTTTTCGATAAAAATAGGTAGTCTCATTAATATTGGAAAAATCTTATTACGAAAATATTTTGGTAACACCCATTTTGTTGACAATATGTTGTTCATGCTAAATATAAGCAATAAACTTAAACTGAAATATCAAGATCTTAATTAAAAACGTTGATGATTAATTTTGACGATAGGAAGACTATTTAAAATACAAGTTTGAAGTATAATTTCTTTTTTTTTTTTCATTTCTCTTCGCTACGTAATAAAATTCAAGTATTCCCAATATTTTCAACCCTTACAGTTAATTCTTAAGGGGTTATTATCCTCGTTGAATTTTTATCAAATTTTAAGCATTCTATGTATACCAAAAATATTTAACGCTACATTAATAACAATTTAAACAATTTGAAGTAAGAAAAAAAAATTGCACAAAAATATTACAAAATATTCAACCATTTAAGATTCTAAAGGGTTAAACTGGAATTTTTTTAATGATCTGAAATTATCGAGAAAGAATTTTTTAAAAATCATTTGAACGTTTGAACGAATAAAAATTGAAATCCATTGCGATTGTATGTTCATTATGGATACTAATATACATAATAAATTTGTTTTAACCCTCGTAGTCCGATAGATAAGTCACTTTTGATTCGGTCGATTTAATTGACAATAAAGTTAATTACATTACGAAAATTGAATAAGTTTAAATCGATTGGTCGGGTCATTTTTGATCCAATCTTTTTTTTGATTCACCTTATCAACGTACTTCGAAGGTTAAATATAAATTAAGTGGACGAAGTGATTATATGCTATATATGTATGCGTATACAATAATTTGCCACTTAAAGTTTATATTATAAATAGACGGAAAAACACAATAGTGCGACTAGCGTTGAAAGCGCGTAATACTAACGTAAATATATGTAAATACATATAATAGTTTGGAAGCTCGAAGCTTGAAAGCCCCGCTTAAACATATTAACAAAGTTTCGTTCGTTTCGTACATAATTATTTAGGCCTTAGGAATCTGTTATCGTCAGGTAAATTGAATTTAAAGTTTCACCATGTAATATAATTTATGATTTGTATATATGATATATATTATATATATATTAAATATTTTAAATAATTGTATATCTATACGTATTTGCATATATTTATAATAATATGTGTGTATATATATATATATATATATATATATATATATTCATTTATTTATGATAGTTACTCTTTATATTTTATAGAATTTTTTTTAAAAATGTGCTTCTACGCAACAAGTGATTCTTTTCATTGATTAAATTGATCTGAGATTTTATTATTATTATTATGATTTTTTTTTACTCGTCTTTCATTTTTTTTTCTCTATTTGCACGATATCGTATATCTTTATGTTTGAAACAATATAAAATAATATTTTTGAAAATAAAATATACAGATATTGTAATATTTTAAAATGATGATCATATCTTGAATAATTAAATTGATAATTAGATTGCTTAATTTATAATGAATAAATAAATAAATAGAGACATTTGATTAATGACTATGTGCCTAATGCTAGAATTGAAGATTTTGTCGCTATCAACGATACATATATATGTACTTAAATGTAATCTAATACTACTTTTCATTCTTTAGATTTATGCTCAAGTAAAATGTCATTTAAATATAAAATTCTCATTATGCTACCCTGTGCTTTAGAATCTATAAAGATGTTGAAATGCGAAGAAGTTACATTTGATGTTGTTAACAAAGCTTACATATATTATTGATTTTTTTTTTAAAACGATTTTCAAATATTTGAATATTCACGCTTATTTATGGAATTTTCAAAGAGGCAGTAGAATTCAATGATGTTGGTCTATCGCGCAAATAAAGAGGATATTAATCTAAAAGAAAAACGAATAAAACATTCTCAAAAGAAAAGAATCAGATTTCTTTCTAAATAATATATTATTCAATAAATTAAATTCTTGAAGATAATGATAAATTAAATTTTTTGATTAAAAAAAAAACATATATTGTTCATTCGTTTATCTTTCAGAAAAATTTCTCTTATTTTTGCATTAGCCAAATATATTGAACACATTGGCACTTTAACTAATGTTAAATTACTTGTACAATTTAAATATATTTGGTGCATACATCATCGTCCAAATGTTTAATAGCACTTATTGAAATTAGAACTAAAAACCGAAACTATCAAGTTTAAAATATTTTATTTTTATACAATATTAAAGAGATATTTAATCAATAAATAATAAAAATTTATTTTAACAATTTAATATAAATACAAATATAATTGTTTTTATATGTATATTATAATTTTGAAACGATATTGTTCTAAAATATCGTTAAATTATCTATCTCTGAAATATATGAATACAAATTTAATTTATCCAGTAAATTATAATATAAAAAAGATATATGTGATGATACATACATAATATGTTATTTTTTTCTTATTGGAACATGAACCGATTTATCTTTATGGACAATAAGATTCTTTCAAGCTATCAAAACTAGGAAAACTATCAAAAAAAGGAATGAAGTTAAATCTGCAGAATGAAATAGGAACAATGTATATTCACAACCTGTATTGTATTCACAATCTGTAACGAATTATTTATCATTTGAAAATATATAAAAATGACATATGTAATAAATGAATATACATAAAATATATTAAATCATATGAAGATATTAATTTAAATATAAAAAAGAATATAATATAAAAAAGAAATAAGTTATAAAATAAACTATAAAGTTTAAACAATTATAAAAAAATTTTAACAAATTAAATTGAAAAAAATCAATTGTGTTAAATCTATTATTAAAATCATTTTTACTTTGATTAAATTTTTATATATACTTATTATATATATATTTTTAAATGCAATTAAACTTTTGGACGTAATTACTTATTTATATTTCTTTCATTGAATTCGAAAATTGTGAATATATTTATTACGCACCTCATAGATAAAATGGACAGATTTGTTTGAAACGGTGATATATTCTGACAAACATGTAATATTTACTAGGATAATTTTTTTTAACGATAATTTGATCGTATTTAGATAAATACTGCCAAACATATTTCAATTTCAGGTATCGTATTCTAAATCTAAATTATTTTGCTGGTCTACGTATTTTGAGGCTTTATTTAAAGCTTTATGTAATTCTTGTATCTACTTTATTTCGGATCCTGTCCGTTAATATTTAATATTCAAAAGCCTCATTACTATAATTATTTTTAAATTACACAACTATTGCAAACGTATGATTTTTTAATCATACAAAACTTTTTTATTATGTTAAAATTTAATAAAAAAATTTTATATGTGTTCAAAAGAACGAAAATGGCACCAGTCTTAAAATCACTGAACCGTTTTCGTTTATATATTAATTTTTTGATATTGTACTTAAATAATAAAATGACAACAGATGAGATGAAAAGTACAAAATATATGAATAATTCTATAAAATCATATATCATTATATCATATATCATTATTATTTCATAAAATCATATCAAATTGATATTCTAAAATGTTTCTAAAATTAGGAAATGAACTAAGTATAGCAAATCGATGTGTAAATATTAGATTATCAAATAATATCGAAAAGATATATTTAGAAATAGAAATTGTAAATTCTTCAAATATTTATGTTAAAATAAATTTTAAAAATGGATTACATTTCTACCAGTCAGATTTATTTCTGAGCAATTCTGAGAAATTATTTGGAATTATTTTTGATATCTATTATCTAAAAAAAGTTATTTGTAAAAGTCATACTAACTATTCCCTTAATTAATTATAATGCACTGGTGCATTTTACTTTCTGATTTCTACGTATTTGATCACGATCATATATATGTTTTGATCACGATATTATTTTTTTCTGATTGTAAAATATATGATCTGTATCACATTAAATGCAATTTGAAATATATATATATAAAAAAAAGAAATTATTACTTGTTAAATAATCATGAATTATGCAACTTGTGCGTATACACATTATATTCAATACGCCAATTGAAACTACGATTATTCTAATTAATGAATATAGTTGGTCCATCTTATATATAAAAAATAACGTAAAATATTTTTACCAAATATTGCATAAAATACTATGTCGAATGAAATAAAACGAACATTAGAAATAATATTAATAAATAATATTACACATTAGTAGGTGGATCCATAGCACAAATGATAGATTTCATTACACTTGCAGCAGCTAAAGACGCGTAAGGTTGCCATTCTTTTATGCGGGAACCATCTTTATAATCAGAAATACCTCGAATAACGGCAAAACTTTCACGACAATTACCCAAAATACTTTCGACCACAGCATCCATTTCTGTATCAAATGCAAGAGCTCCAAAACGAACTGCAAATTTCTGTCTCAATTGATCATCACGTGCAATATATCTACCAGATGCTATAGGTGCTAAATGAATTCGTGGACAACCATTTATTCTGGAACATCGAATTAGGTTTACAACAATAAATATAAAATAAATATGGTAAAAGTTATTAAAAATTCATTAAATTTTTAAAACTATCTGGTCGATAATATTAGAAATATAATAATAGAATATAAATAAATTATGTAACTTATGATTATATTTATTGATAATTGACGAATGAATTTATAAAAAAAAAATATGTATTTAATAATAATAACCTTTTATATATCGCATCTGAAGGTGCAGTAGGATGTGCAACTTCAATAACATCTCTTTCACCAATAGCCATGTACAATTTATCAGATTCTGGTGGAGGTGATTTAAAATCATGTTCTGTTTGATTAGTCAAAATATCTAAACCTTCTTTCAGGTATGTTTGCCATGGAGGATTTGACTCATTTTCCGACTAGAATTGTCAAGATAATAATTATTCCAAATTTTTACTATAAATTCAAAAATTTAAAACAACTTACCTGATGTTTAAGATTAGCAGCGATTTCTTGAAGGCATAAATTTGGTGGACAATATTCTTTGGTTTCAAAATGATAATCACCATTTTCATTTGTCTTTGCACTTTCACAATAAACATAGATATATTTATTATTTAAAGGAGTAGGATAAGATATAACCACATCACCAAGTCGTACATGTTTATTATAATCTGTGTAATGTGGTACACCTCCTCCAATTCCAATTAAGAAAACAAAATCAACCTTTTGAAATGTACCTAAGAAAAATATAAAATATTTAGATACAAGGAATTATAAGATTCATCACAAGGAAATTTATCAATTAAAAATAAATCGAAAAATACTACCTAATAATCTGGTAGTTGTATTTCCTGCTGCAGTCATTGCTTCTCTTGTATGACCTACAGTTGGTAGTTTTGTGCATACAATTCTATGTGCACCAATATTGCCTAATGTGTAAACATTTGATTCACCTATAACAAAAATAATTTTATCTTATATCAAATGAATCTTCTATTATTAATTTTAAAATTTGTGTATGATACATGTGCTTTGTGCTACTATTAAAAGATTGGCACTGAATTTGTGTGTTCTATGTGATTAAATTAATTAAAAATAATTCATTCCAAAAGATGCAATTATATAAAATTATCATTTTCATTAATTTCATTTATATACACTTTTCTTTTAATTAAAAGTAATAATTATCGAAATATATTAATATTTCGTAAATGATTTAATATTTTTTTCAATATTTAATTTATAAGTTTTAATATTTAATTAATTAATATGTGTGTATATATAAATATATAATAATATTTAAGAATACAATATTTAATATTGTATTAAATTAATTAGTATTGTATTAACATATTACTTGTATACATACTATTCAGTATTAAATTGAGCCAATTTTATTATATGTAATAGTAATAAATAATAAAATAAAAAAATAACTAAAAATTTCATTTTTAAATATTAATTAATATAATATAATATAAATTATTTATTTAAAAATTAAAAATAATAATTATAACAAATTATTATCAATCTTAAATAACGAAAAAAAAATGAATATATCTTTCACACAAACAAAAAACAAAACACAAACAGATATATGAACAAAGGATATAATTTGTGATAATGTTAAACCATGCCCATTTAATGTGTATGATAAATTTAACTTAATTTGCTAATATTGCTGAAAGAATAAATATTTAAAGATGAAGACATAATACATAAGATTACATTTTGAATGAATTCCATTACAACATAAAATATACTGTTTCTGCCATGAATAAAATAATATTTTAATAAAAAAATCTATTAGTATACATTTTTCACAGCACAGTGGCTCTGCGACGTTTCTTGAATTGGCAAGCAATTGGCAAGCTATAACGTTAAACGACATTGAAAGAAAAGAGAAATTATATTACAAACTACTTTACCAAAACGACATGTCACTCGCGGTACTCCATCTGTTGCATCAGGTGAGCTTGCTGTACCTAAAGTTTCATGCGTAGTAAAATATATATACACAATATGTTTTGTACTTTTTACCGTCATCTTATGTATAATATAATTATATAAACAGTTTTTTGTTTGAATTCAATATGAATACAAAATAATAAAATTTAAATTTATATAAATAAATAATTTGCACAATTATATTTGAAGTTAAATATTCATATTATTTAAATTAAATAACAAATAAATTCAAAATTAAGTAAAAATTAAGTTCAGTGTATATTAATTAAAAAAAAAAGAATTTCAAGAAACAGACAAAAATTTAATCATCTAATTTAATGTGAAAATTTATTTGTTCATATTGTAAGATAGAAAACATAATATTTATAACAAATTAACATACCTCATACATTTTATATTCCTTTCATTATATAATTTATGAAAATTATATTGATATAATTGATAAAAATAATATAAGGAATAATTATATGATAAATAAAATAAAATCTTACCAACAGTAGTATAACGGACAAATGTTTCTTTGTTTTCAATCATTGAATCAACTGCCAACTTTTCACAATATTGTGCAGTAATAATTGCTATAGTAGGTTGTTTTGCATTTGCCATTGTTGGCATTTGTTTTACAACCTAAAAGATAATAAATAATTTTTTATGTTTAATATCCTAATTATTATAAATAATTGTATTTAAAATAAATCATCATATATCATCAATTGATATATTATTCATTTATCACAATAAAAATATTTAAATTTACTTGAACTTGTGTGTCTTGATGTACAACTCTAGTAAAAGCTCCATGTTCCATTGCTTTAACTACACCTTTTTCTTGCAATTCTTTTAATTTTATTTCAACAGCAGAAGGATCCCAACCATGTTCTCTATAATAATTACATATATTGAAATACTGATTTTTTAATATAAAAATAATTAATCAATTTTTTATAATAAAAATCTTACTTTGCTATGTCAATTATTGTTATTGGATTTGGATAAGCAGATTCAATAAGTTCAAGTACTTTTTCTATTGTCAGTTCAACCACTTGACCAATAACTGTTTCATCTGTTGATACTATTAAACAGACAAATTAAATATTATTTAATCTTTTAAATATATTATTGATTATACATAAATGATTATGTAAAATATATAAATATTTATTGAAAAATAAATTGTGTGTAATTATTTTTTAAAATATTTAATAAATAAAATAAACTACAGTTTGTGTATTTATGTATACTAAACATGTGTCTATCATATTACATATATATATGGTGAAAAGCTACTTGAAACTTAAAATAAGAATGTAATTTATACTACTAATGCCTTTTATAGAATTGCTGACATAGAAATCAAGTCTAAAAATTTTATATGGCAATAAGTGACCATGAGTACAAGGTGAATGCTTTTTATGGATATGTTAGTGTTAAAGTAAATAACAAAATAGAAATTATAAAATGTCATACAATTAAATTAATATATATATATTAAATTTATATATATATTAAATTAATGTATATTAAACTAAAAATAAATTTTGTGAAATATAATTTAAATTATATTTTTTCCTATACTTTAAATTTAATAATTTATATTATTTTTAAATATTTAATTTTCTTTTATCATTTAATTTTTTTCTAATTTATTTTACATTATATTAAAAATTTGAATTAAACAAAATAAAAATATTATTGCATTCATAATCATGCATTTATATTACAAATATAATACACTCCAAAAATAAGACATACATATATTATCTAATTTCAATGAGATAAATAAATATAAGAATTTTTCTTTTTAAATAAGTTATAAATTTAAAAAAAAAATAAAAAGAATGAATTGAAATGATTGCAAATTGTTGACTTTCATTGTTGATTAAAATAAAGATTAAAATATATCATAAATGTTTTAATATTGGATTAATGCAAAAACTAACAAAAACATTGTGTTAAGCCAATGTTGTTATGGTAACTACTTCATTGCATGAAGCAATAGAACATATATTTACCGGTCAATATAAGAATTGAATTTTTTTATATTTAATTGAATTAATTTTTTGTCATATATTATATATTATCTATTTTTTTAAAAATATATTTTTTATACATTATTATCAAAATATATATCAATAAATTAAATAAAATTATAATAAAATTAAAGGTAAATAAAAAAATTCCATATAAAATTTTTTTCATGTTTGACCGGCAAATATCTATTTGTTATTATATTTTATATAATAGCCTGCATATAAAATATTAATAAACATAAATCGCAATAAAATATGCAATTTTTTCATTGTCTCCAACCTGATTTCCAATTAATTTTCTTATATGGAAGTGTGAACAGTATATGACCAGTATCAGCTGTGAATAACAGAGATTAAAAATAACATTTTTATTTCATATGAATGAATAGATTATATGCGTATAAAATGTACACGAGTAACACGAGCAGCTCAAATGTTAAGTGTACATTTCCTTCAGTTTCAGTTGTAATGTATACTTGAGATACACTGCTCCAATATCTTTTAATAAAGATCATTTAGTTCAATAAATCTAATCAAATAAATCTTGATGCTATCTCTACTTAAAAAGTTAAAAGTCATTTTATATGTTTTTATTAACAGAAAAAAGTATTATAAGAAATAAATAATAGAAAATTGAATATTCAAATTTACAAATCTATATTTGAAAATAATTTTTTAAAGTAAAAATTAAATAGTTAATATACTTATGAATAATAATGTATATATAAGATATAATATTTTATATATTATTATTTGTTATATATATAAAAAAATATATAATCAAATCATATATAAAAGAAAATATTATATATATATATATATATATATATATATTAAAAATTTGTATAATGTTTCAATAAAATAAAAATAAATATATTATACTTACATGGTCTAGTTGGAAGATTAATTGGTTCTTCAAGTTGTTTCAATTCTACTTCTATCTTTTTAATAGTAGAATACTTATGCAACATTAACTTCATTATTTTCTTTATAAATCCAACATAATCTGTAACAAAATCATATAATTTGCTGAAATTATATATGTTATAATTATTAAAAAAAAATTCTTTTAAAATAGCAACATGGAATAATTAATATACAATATTTTAAGATTAAAATTATCTTATATTTACACATTATAATAAATCAATATTCTATAATTAAACTTAATAGTTTAATTATAAAAAATTATTTTTAATAAAGTATATCTATATAGATTATTTAAGTATATCTATATAGATCTTATAGATTATTATTATATATAACAATTTCAATAAATTTAAAATGATTTTTACCTCTTGGAAATTCTTTGGGACTAACTAATTCCCTAAAGAATTCTTGTGCCACACTGGGATGTTCTATCTCTGAAAGTGTATCTATAAACCAAAATTGAAGAGTTCTGGATTCCTGTGTATGTTTTCCACTTTGAGCACTCACTAAGAATACTCTAAATTGTAAGCAAAGATGTGCTGGATGAACTTCTCCATTTGTTACTATAAAAATTTTATGATATCATTTTTTTTATATTAATATTATTTCAATGTACTGAATAATTATAAAATTTTATATACCGGTAATTGCTTGTTTATTGATAACTATTCCTTTATGATCTCCTCCAGCAACATGAACATTATTCTCATTTCCATTTTCTGTTGGTGATTCTAATGTCTGCCTTTCTATTATAATAGTTGTAGAATTTGCAGTTTTAGATTTCGGAGTCATGACAATGTGTTCTAATAAATAAAAAAAAACATGAATAAAATTAATCAATCAGTATAAATTAACAGTTATATATAAAAAATAATTAAATAAATAATAGAATTATAGCAATTATTTATCATTATATTTAAATAAAAAACGTATTTGAAAATCAATTTAAATTCTATAAATATAAAAACTATTAACAGCTGTTTTTATTATATACTTCAACTAAACATTATTGCATAAAAAATAATTCATTATATTAAATTGTAAAATTAAATTTTATGTTTAAATAAATTTATCATTAAAAAAATTTTATTTTTTTATGTACTCACCTGTCTTTTTATCATCCATTTTAGATATCGTTTATTTTATCTTTTATCTGTTTCAAGTAATTTTTTTATGGCATTAAATAAATAATAGATAACAAGAGGAACATTTAAATTTAACAAAAGTTCTTCTTAACAAATCTGCTTGAACTCGTCCGTTCAACAGCAACTATCGTTCTTTACTGCTCAACTTTTCAATCGCCTTCGTATTCGTTACTGTCCCACCACAGTACTTGCGCCTGTCAAATCGAAATATATAACCTCTTTATTCTTTCTAGTCAACCTTTCCTGGATACAATAAAAGTATATCTTTAAAAGGTAATGCATAATAGAAAAGATGCACAAAGTTCATTAGCACAAGAAATAGGTGATGTTAGGTGATCGACTTGAATACTCATCGAAAGTTATCGATCGAATTGGTACGATACATGCCACCGCCCTACGCCATACTTATATTTAAGTATGACGCGAATTTCAATATGTCATTTGTTTTTTAAGTATAAATGATATATATTCTAGTAACTATGATGTCGTACTTACATATATTTATGGAAGTCGATCACAATAATATATTACATATATGTATATGTATTTCTATTTATTATATAAAAAATTCTATTATTAACATCATTCATTAAAAATACACTACAATCAATATCTAATAAATAAAAATAGCATAAATATAATTTAATAAAAAATAACTTTCTTTATAATACAATATTCTTTTTAATAATTATTCTTTACAATTATTACAATTTTTGAACCATAAATCTTAGTATATTATTATATAGACAATTTGATCTCAATTTATTTACATATATTTATATATTTTTATTTCATATATATAAATATAATATTTGAAAATAATTAATTACATAAAATAATTATAAATAATTATAACATTTTATATCGTATAAAAAAATTACATTTAAATGTATTAAATTTAATATTAATAAAAAATTTATAAAAATAAATTATGTTAAATTAATAATAGAAAAATATCATTTTATAAATTATGATACATTCATAATGTCATTATAATAAATTTGAAAGATATATATTAAGTCTTAAGAATCACGCTTTATTAATGATCAAAACGCCATCACAGTTCTTTACAAATATTATAAGTTGGTCAACTTGTTACTGTTTTTATGTATCTAGTAAAAAAATTTGAATAAGAATTGTGGAATTTACTTCATAAAATTTCATCGTACGTATAAAATTAAATATACAATCAATATATATTATCAATATATATTTAAAAATTAATTTATTTAATATCAATTAATTTATTTTATTTAAAATATTTGAAAATATTATTTATTAATATTAATATATATAATTAATATTATTTATTATACAATTACTAATTTAGTAGTACAATTACAAATTGTACTATTTATTTAATATTAAATTTCATCAAAAATTCATAAATATATTTTTGGTTTTATGTATGGTTTTATATTATGATATAATAAAAAATTACATTATATAATTTTTTATAATTTATTCTTTATTATTTCTTTTTTTATATATGTATTGAAAATATTTATGGTCCATATTAAACGGTAATTAAAACACATATAATGGAAGCTTTATTTGTATTTGAAATTTACCATATTTCAATATGAAATTGAAAACAGTCACATATTTATGATATAGTTCTTTTTATAAAATTTCTAGTTATTTTTAGAGTTATTTAAAAATATGAATTTGTTTTTCATGGATAATTAATACTAAAAAATTTATAAATTATGATTTTATAAATTTTTTTCTTTTTATTAAATTTAATTCTCTAGATATTTTTTATTTACAATGATTAATTTTGATTAATTAATATAATAAACACATTCGATTATTTCATAATAAATTCTACTTTTAATTAAATTTAATTATTCAAAATATGTTGAAATTAATTTTATTTTTATAATTAAATTTTGAGGATAATATATTTTACTATCATAATTGTATTACGTATCGTATTTTTAAAATCAATCATTTTTGGTATTTCGAACAATGCATCATGAAATAAATAGATTTATATTACTATTTATTAATTTTTTTTTAAATAATATAAAAAATAATATTTATTATGTGTTTAAATCACGTTGTGGATTTTAAATCTAAAATTTCTTTTTGATAATTGAAAAAAAGTATTAAAATTTAAATTTAAATTATAAAAAAAAATTTATTGGTTATAAATTCAATGATTAATACATACATATAAAAAAACATAAAAAATATAAAAAAAAATACATTAATATATTGAATAAAAATGGATTTCTATATTGAATTAACTATGGATTAGTTATATATGATCTTTAAAGAAAATAAATTTCTTATTTCTTGAAATTAACAAAATAGTTCTATTTAATGTATTGTATATATGTTTAGATGTATGTAGGTAAGCCGGCTCTTTGATTTGTCAGGACGTCAAAGCAATGCCACGTACTAGGCTTTAAAGTTGATTCAGCATACGCTCTTACTGAAGAAGATTACGATACATTTAATCATATAACTTCGTAGAACGCGTATCTCGAAGCGTTTAAGCATTTTTTATATTTGTGTTAAACTATTATCTTGTATAGTGCGTGAAAAGAATTCGAATTGGACAAATAAAATATGAACTCTTTCAAAATGTAATATTCTGTAAGTAAAGTTTAATTGCGTTTTATTTTAATATGATTCATTCATTTATTAATAAATAGTTAGAAATATAAAAATATATAATAATCATTTATCATGATGTCAATATAACCTATGTTAAATTATGTTAAAGAAAATATTTAGATTTAAAAAAATATATGTTTGCTTTTATTAAGTGTTTTAATACAGAAAAAGAAATATATATTTGATTCAATATATATATATCTATTTTTTTGAAATTGTTGATTTCTAAAATTACATCTAAATTTATTATATTATTTATTTTCTAAATTTATTATTATTATTATTTACTTTTTATTCAATTTCAGAATGTAACAACAATGAGAAAAAAAAATTAACTTTTTTAATTTAAAATTATTCTATAAAATATCATATGTACGATATATAATTCTTGGGGAATTCCCTTGCATGCAGTTTCATAACCGTGACCATGATAATTATCGAAATGAACTAAAAAAAGAAACGATATTTAAACAAGGATCGAAGATCAGTTTATATTATGAACAATCCTATAGTCTGTATCAAGCGGTAAATGATAATCTAGATATTAAATTTCACAAAAGACTTCTCGGAATGTGATGGAATTAAAATTTTTATATAGATTATATCTGTTCTATCGTATATATAGATAACAATTATTTTATAATTATAAAAAAAAAAGTTAAAGATACATTATATCATTTAGTTAAAGTTTCATTAAAAAAGTAATATTATTTTTATTTTTCATGAATGTACACAAATTTAATTATACAGCATAGAAAAATTTTCCGTATTCATTAATCATGCTTTATCTCACAACATTTTTTACATTAATGTCTTTGTTATAACATTCGTTATGTAAAAAATGGTAATTCCATGTATGAGTTCATCGGATTTAAAAGAAAATCCAAAAGGAAAAAACTCATGAGATGAAATAAATAGATTGAAAATTCTTAAATATTAGTCATTTAATTTGATGAGCTAAGAAGCATCTCATTATCAAAACAAATTTTTGAAACAAGTCACTTGGAATAAATTTTAAATTTTCGAAAGAAGAATATTTATAAAAAATATTTGTTTATGTACGTATAAAATATCAATATTCTATTCATAACTTTCATTAATTATATTTTTTATAATTATATATTTAATTATTTTTTTATATTTAAATATTTTATATAAATTATACCTTATTTTTATACTAAAGAAGATTTTTAATTTAAAATTCTTATCAAATCTCAAAAATTTTAATCTGAATTATTTATTGTAGCAACAAGATTGTTGTATAGAATAGGAATGAAAATGTTTCTTCAAGAAGAAATTTTTACAGTAATTTAATGTTTATCGCTATAATATAAACATGATATATTATATTTTGGAATAAAGGTAAAAAAAGAAATAATAATCAATGTATAAATATAATAAATATTGTCAAGAATCTCGATTTACAAAATAACATTTAAAACAATAGAATATTGTACTAATTTTAGGATAAAATTTTAGGATATAATTTTAGGATTTTAGGATATTAAAAATAGAAAAAATATTAGAAAATTTCTTTGACATTCGAAATCATAACTATTAATGAACTGATCTAATTGTTTTCTTTCGATAATGTCGTCTTATCTCTTTCAGGAACCGATCTATGATTGGCGATCATTTCATTCTTTCATTTTTCACGTGTATTATTACACATGGATATTATTATACAATTCATCATCATTAAATTCTTTTATATATTTTATATTGGCATTATAAAATTGGGAATAGAAGCATACAAAATATTTTCCTTTTTATATAAATAATATTTACGATATCATAATCCTATAAGTCAAAATAATATTTTAATAATTTAATTTTATAACAATATTTAAAATATTCATCCTCGATAGATGTATTATAAATTCGATGTTTCAAAAAAATTAATTAAAAAAAAAGTTAATTAAGATGTAGGGTGAGAAACAGGATTAAATTTTGTATTTTTAAAATTTTTTTGAGAATTTTATTCTATTCTCTTTTTTTTTAGAAAAAAAACACTGAATGAACACAGAATGGTCGTAATATTCTAGATATTATAATATGTTCTTCTATTTATAAGTACATTAGTTGGAGATAACTTATTTTTATCGAGAATGAATCGATATTTATTTTTTTGATATGAGAAGGAATTTTCAATTCTGGAGAACTCATAAAAAAAATTCATCCAGTTTTGTGACAAACAATCGTACAAATTAATCGAATCAATGATTGAATTAATAATTTTAAATAATAATAATAATAATAAAATTTCTATTATGTTTTGTCTTTTTAACACATAAAAATCTAAATTAAATTTATTGAAAATTGAAGTTTTAAAATATATATTCACATTATCATTGTTAATAATTATTAAATTAAATATTCGAAAAATTTTCTATTATTATATGACTTATTCTTAATTATATATGATAATCGATATAATATTAATAAAAAAACAATAAATTTAATCTACGATAATACAGATATCAAATGTAAAGATATATATTTTTTTTATCTGATAATTAATATTATCGTAGCTTTTAACAGTTTTTATATGTTTGCAGATGTTTAAACATTTAAATGGAAAGATCATCACTCTATAATAAATATCTGGAAAAGAAAAAAACAATAATATTTTAAACATAGAAAGGTAAGCAATATTCTTCTTTAAATTTTTATTAACATTCTAATTTTTAATTAACATTATAATTTTTTGAAATACATTGATAGAAATTTATTTTTTCTTTTTCTTTTTCAATCGTTTCTATCGGATATGATGTTAAAATATACAAATAAAAAGAATAAAATAACAAGATCCACGATGCAGTTGGAAGAAGAATTAAGATTATTGAATATTAATACATGTGTCAAATGTACTGGAGAAAAGAAACTGATTTATGATTATTTAAATAAGGATCAAAAGAAAGTATATAACAATATATGCAATTTATTTAAGAAAAAAAATAATGCAATTATTGTGATTAACACTCCAAGCGGGACCGGTAAAACATTTCTTTTATCTACTTTCGTCGCAAATTACGAGAGACCTGTAGTGTATATTACATTCAGAAAAGACCAAGCAAGTGAAATTTCATTGAAGAAGAATAAAACATACACGTATATATCTTTTAGTATGCATTATTTCAATCTATCATATTATGATGCAATTCGAATGTTTAGTTCGTACGGATATGACGAAGTCGAAGAACTTCATAATTTAATAGTATCATCTAAAAAGTTTGTCTGTGAAGACACAAGTATTTTTATTATAGATATGTATACTATATCATCGCCAAATATGTTGCTTTTGTTATATATACTATCACTTAAACATCGACTGCATTTAATTTTTGCTGGATATCACATGCAATTAAATGGAATCAATAAATCTTCATATCATAATGAAAACAATTTTCACATCATTCAAATATTTAACGACTTGATGATAAATCAATTAACTAATACACGAACGTGTGATGCCGTGCTTGAAGATAAATTGACGTGTTTTCGTAAACTTATTCAACAATTTCAACCTATTGGAAATATCCAATTTTATTATAATTTGCGTTATTTCTTTTATTCTCTTTTTCGATCAAAATATTTCACTGAGGAACGTTTTGATACTGTTTACATAGCTCAAACTCATCGTAAAATTACAATGCGTTTATCTCGTTTTATTAAGTATTTGCAGTCGATAGAAAAACCGTATGTCGAAGCGCCATATTTTTATTATGATTCAAATCATGATTGTATCGTGCCACTTTCGAAATGCAAAGAACGAAGAATGAAATTTTTTCCTACTCTGATATTAGTAGAAGGATATAAATATATATATATTAATGAAGATGGTGTTAACAATATTGTTATATTGGAAAATATAGTATATGAAGGTATTAAAATTAAATGTTTAAAAATTCGTTTTGAAAATAATTATAATCATGTTAAAGAAATCAAACGAATCAGACTTAATTATTATCAGATTTTACCAGCTTATCGTCTTTGGTTATTAAAGAATGTTATACATATAGATGAATTATGGCAATTTCCTTTACGTCCTTACACGCTGACATATCATGCTGCTTTAGGACGAACAATTGAAAAAATAAAAGTAGAGCTAAGTATTGAGCATTTTGCCAATTTTTTGTACATTGGTCTTAGTTGCGTACGTCACGAATCTGATATCTATAAAATTCATGATGAACAAAATCTTTTAAGTTACATGGTAACAGATTATATGGAAAATGTACGAAATGATACTGAATATTATTACAATTGTCCAATGATAGAATATGATAAACAAGAAATTTTGGCATGTATTACTAATAAAAAGCCTAACAAATTTATAGATAATATTCATTGGACAACTGTGAATTCTGTGGATTTATTTGAAAAAAATATAGTATTTTTACGTATTGCACGTAGTGTATATCAAGAATCATTATTTCAAAAAAAAGAAGTGAATACACCATTGATGCAAATTACAAAATTTGTCAAAAATAATCCAAATGTGATACTTGAAACGATTAAAATGGCAAGTGTCAATGAAAATAAAAACATTAATAATAATAAAAATAAAACAAAAAAAAGGAAGAAGAAACAACAGAAAAAAGAAAATAAAGAGTGCAAAGAATGTGAATCATTAGTTTATTTAAGAAATGAATATCATCGATGGCTTGTTGCAACTGAAAAAAGCGATTAAAAATTTGCGAGTAAACATAAAAAATTGTTATTTTAATTTTGAAATTAATATTATTGAAAATATTAATTTTTTTAAAGATGTAATTTAATATTTTTTCATTTACTAAAATTCATAATATGTTATAGAATTAGCTTTATATTTGATTTTTTATATTTTTATTCATTATTTTTTTCATATGCATATAACTTCTATAAATTTAAAAATTTTTGATATATCCTATTTTTATAATTATAATATATAAAAGATATATTTATATAATATAAAAGAAATATTTTATATTCTTATATTCAAAAATATATTTTTATATCATAATTTTTTGCCATTTTAAAGAAAAATATTGTTTTTTAGTTATATATACACATATATTATATATATAAATATATATTGTAAAAAATTTAAATCATATTATTATTAAAATAACGTGAAATTACTTTTATCAATTGTTAAAATTTAAAAATAACAATTTATATTTAAACATAGTTTTAACAAAGTATGAACAATATGATACATGTTTTATTTTTTATTACAAAATATTGTTCCTACTTATTATTATGTATATATTGAGAGTATATATATATATATATATATATATAGAGTATACATATATAAGAAAGAAAGAGAATATAAAATATATAATATTATAAAACACTTTTTAATTATATTATTTGCAAAATTGTAAATAATATATATTTTTTATCATCTTCATCATGTTATCAATAAATATTTGGATAATAAATTTTTGAAATATTAAATTTTTGAAAATTTTTGAAATATCAAATTTTAATTTACTTATATTGTATATTAATTAACATAATTAAAATAAACATAATTAACAAGATAACATATATATTAGAGACCAAGATATTAGTTATTGTATTATAGAACTATGATTTATTTTTTTTTATTAATAATTTTTTATATCATCATTTTTAAAAATATATATGTATAAAATATATGTATAAAATATATGTATATTAAAAATTGTAAAAATAAAATCAAATTATTAAAATATTATTTATTAATATAT